TGTTTTTGAAAAGTAAACCATTTTATGCATGAAAACATTCCGGTTCAGTGAACATGAACTACACTTACAAAAACATCTGTTTAGTTGTTCTTAGAAGTTGTTAAGGCGAGAGTTCAAAGGAGGCGGTTGCGGGTGAGGAGCAAGTCACAATAAGAAGGCAAAAGTGCTAGAAGCAGAGAGCAAGATATAGTGGTCTCCCTCTATATTATATTGTATAGCAGATTTAACATCAGAGCAATTAACATCGAATTTCAACGTGAATTGAAATATATTAACGTAATAAATCTTTTCAAATACATACGTCCCCTCAAATTAGTAATGACGTACGGGTAAAAGTACGAGTATAGGTAAACAGCAGTCAAAACTCAATTGCTCTCTGTAAAGAAAGCCTTAGACAGAGAACGAAACCCTGAATGAAATCCATTCGGGATTTCATTCTCTGTCTAAGGCTTGACAGCTTTTATTACCAATTGTCCTTATAATTATCGTGTTTAAATGGCAATACTTTTAGGTTTGAACTCTATTTAACTAAGAGATAAGTACCATTGTACTCGAAATAGCAGCTTTGTGATTTTTTTAAAGGCGAGGGAATGGACGGCATGTGAAAAGAAAATTTTGAGCTTCATGATGACATAACGAGGAATGGATTCGTGATTCGGACTTGAGGAAAGCTAAGTGAAATTGAATTATAATTTACACGACGGCAGAGACGGACGGGGTAAAGTCATTTAAAGATTGAGAACCAAAACTGGAACAAATTTTCAAATGAACTTCTTGTGTTTTAATATTTCTTGCATTGAAACCAATATGTACACTTGCATTTACACTAGTATGTAAATTGTAAAATAAAACTTTTTTACGGATTTTATCCCCTAAACTTTTGATTTGCAATCGAAAATAAATCAAAGTAATTTTACTCGTGATGTCTTATTAAAAAAATTAACAATTATATCATAAAATGAAAAGATCTTGTATTGAAAATGCGATTTACATACATTATATAAATGAAAACAAATGGATCTGACGGAAACAAATGGATGATGGAGTGATCGCTAGATCGTGTAAATAAAGCGTAGCGTTAAGTAAAACATAAAGTCTTCAAAACTTTTCTACTCCGTTAAAACTATTCATTTCCATATAAATAAATCCAAAAAGAGATGTTAAATCAATATTTTTACCGACACACAACACGGCGAAATCAACCCATCACGTATGTACCACAAGGCACACCGTGACGTACAGTGATTCTCACTGCTCCCAGTGAACGAATAACACAGTCGACAACCATTGGTGTCGTGTCCCCATATCTGTCCCCGACGTAACAGGTAAATGTCTCGTCTTAATAACAAAAATGTTCACACGCGTGACGTGCGCTTAGATTGTATCTATCACGCTGATGCAAACGTAGTTTTACCAGAAGCTCCATCCCAATGTAGCCTTTTATAGTCTACGGACTGAAAGAGCAAACATCTATCGCGGTAATGCAATAGAAGAGGATATCTTGTACGATTTAAGCGCCTGTCAATTTACGTCGCAGTCACTTATAGCAGCAGCTAGAAATTATTACGCGGAAGAGCAGATAACGGTATTCATACGTATAAAGGGTCTGTATAAAAGTATACGTATAATAATAATAATACGGTAATAATAATACGGTACGTATAATAATAATACGGTAAATACTCTTCCACTATATTAAACACAAAAACGATATGAATATCCATAACTATCAAAACTTACTCCAAATATATAATTAAGAAGAAACATTACGTTGCCTGTCAACGACATGATACATTATCAAACACAATGTTAAAAACCAGTCAAGTGCGAGTTGGACACACGCTCGAAGGGTTCCGTACCATTCTATCTATGAAAACGACAAAAAATCGTGTCTGTTGCATGGGAACTCTAAAATATTTTTATTCTATTGTATTTGTTGTTATAGCAGCAAATGAGATCATCTGTGAAAATTTCAAGTGTCTATTACGGTTCATGAGATACAGCCTGGTGACAGACGGATAGACAGACAGACAGAGAGCGGAGTCTTAGAAATAGGGTCCCGTTTTACCCTTTGGATATGGAACCCTAAAAATAACATTCAAAAAGACACCCAAATACGACACTATCACCATTCTGCAGTTCGGTAGTTTAACTTTATTAAGAACTGTCCGCATAAATGCTAAACATGCAAGAAAAACAAATGTAAATAATAACTCCTCGGACGCGTACGTATGGAAAAATAAATTCCCGTATGTTTATTATAGGTGTTATTAGGTTTTCGATATATCCTCGCTGTCAGACGAGATGCAGCCGGTTGTTTGCTTTAAATTCGTAACTCGGGGGAGCGGCCAGAAATAACATAACACTGTAATAACATTTGTCCTAATATATCACTATTGTGACTGCCGGCTATATCGGATTTATGTACTCCCGTGTGAACAACCTTAACGTTTATTAATATTAATGCGATGTGACGGCGTTAAGTTTTCTTTCCGAAACGTCGAATCGAAGAGCTTTTACGTGGATGGGGCCCGAAACGAAATTAAAAAGATTTCCGCTGCTTTCAATGGTTAACTGGTTTTAGCCGCTTTTGCGTTCTCTGTTGGATCTTTGTTTTTTGCGGTAATATTTATTTTTTTTACCTTCAAATCATTTCTTTAAAATAATAATAGCGTTAGTGTATTATGCTATGCTCTAAAACATTTCACGTTGTGATTTTAAGATGTTTTTCGAAGCGAAATGTGAAATTTATTCACGAGCCATGGATAATGGGCAAGTGATTTATAGATTTGACGAGCCGAAACGTGTAGGTGAGTTCATTTATTGGTGTGGAAATATAATCTAAATTAGAATACTATAATTGGAAATCGTATTTATTTCGAATATAATAGTATTTCGAATTGTATTATTTCAATTTAATTTATAGAAAAATAGGAGCATGATTATATCTGAGTAAGGCAATTTTTCTTAGCCAAACTTTAAAATACAACTTCATTTAACAAAAACGGGACAGGCAGAAATACATTTTAGCATATACATGCTATGTTTCAGGAAGCATTTTGGTCAAATCACCACATTCGAAATATTTAAACCTTTCTACCAAAGTATTTAAATTGATATGCTGAAACAACCGCAGAGAATAACGATGGAGCTTGCTCCACGACAATGGGTCTACAAAACAAAATGTATTGCCAATCGTAATTAACAATTCATTACAAACACGAATTAAAGTACCCCTGTACAATAAACAATTATTGAGTTAAGTCATCCGTTCACTTTTTCGATTACAATTAATTTTCGATTACATTTTTTATTAATTTGTTTCTTGGGGATTTCTCCATTTTTCGTTTTATAAGCTTGTAATGACTTTAATCTTATGTTGACCTTTTGTTATGCATAGTCAAGTATACATACCGCGTTTCTTGGGGATAAAAATATTCGAGAACTTTCTCAATTTAGACACAGACTATTCGTCATGAGTCAATATATACTCGAGCAACCTGAGTTCGACCCCGGTGCCAGCACCATGAAATTGTCAATTTTAACTGAATTTAACTCTGGCGAGTTGCTAAACTTCGATTCCCACAGGACAACTATTTGTTGACCAGATAGTTGTTTGTGGGTACTGTCCATAAAACGTCCTTACAACACAGGATATGTTATCCTAAAGTACATGTTTTTTACCGCGTGAAAGAAAACATGTAGGAAACCTGCATATTTTAAATAATAACAAAAAAAAATGTGAAGTCCGCCAATCGCAGTGGGGCCGCGTGGTGGGACTATGCCCTGAACTTTCTACAAAACCCTGCCAGCAGTGGGACATGTATAGGCTGTTACTTTACTTTTTCTACTACTTTCTCAAAACCCTGGCGAGAACATACTTTTTTCAGCTTATTAAATCAGAAGATATCCCAACTGGGCTTTGGATCAATCGTTTACTAAGCTAAAAAGAAAGATTTAAAATGAATCAAATTCTTTTTTTTATATTCTAATTAATCATCGTTTCTAAAGCCATCGTATTTTGCGATCACATACGCATTAATTTTAAACTGAATTTAAAATTCAATTACGAAGTCCCATAATGTTATTGTTCAATGTCCAACCAAACTGTGTATGTAAAATTAATCTTTCATTTAAATTTTAATAGCGTATGGCGCGAGAGTAACGCTCGTGAAATGAGCCAATTGAAAGGATTCGAAGCGTGGAAGATTATTTGTTGATGTAATTATCTTTCGGTGTGCCTTTTTATGAACTTAATACGAATAGGGCTGGGTATATTTTGAACTGTCGGGAGGAACTTCTTGAATAGTAATCAACAAACGGCATATGGGAATGGCGTTATTAATTACAGCCCTACTCAATGTTAAAATTTGAGAAATTTATGATGCTTTCGACTTTCTAGCGCTTTTAAAGTAATGAATCACTTCTATTCTCAACCGCTTTTTTATATTATATTATTGGTGTACTATATCTCAGTATCCAGGCGCTCGCTTTTAATTCAATATACTGGTGTAACCCGACTTAATCTGTGTACAAATACCGGTGCCCCAATGAAACTGTTAATTTTAAGTGCTGACTTAGCACGTGCGCAAAGGTAAAACAAACCACTTGCATACTCATCATCACTTGAAGTGTGGAAACTTGCATAATTAAAAAGTAATTTATTTAGAAGTAATAACAAAAAAGTTTATTTAGAAGATATCCTCAATCCACAGTGGGGTCGCGTGATGGAATCTGCCCCGCCTATACTTTTGCCTGTTTTTACAGAGACAAAAAAAATATCATTGCATTACATGTGAAATTATTTACTATTCACTTGTAAATTGTAGGTTTTAGTTTAATGAAGATATCATTTTTATTATTACTAGCTGCTCGATGGGTACTATTGAGTTCTAAATAAAAAATAATTATAGTCGCCGTACACTGGAGTATCCACAGTTCCATGAGCAGTGGGATCTGCTGTTACGTATCACCACTGTTCGGAGTTCGGGCCTCCGTTATGGTCTCCCTAATCGGAACTTGTGGGGCGGTTTCCATATGGCCGCATAGCACGATTGCCGGCGTGTGCCAAACAGCGCGCAATAAAGCGTCTCTCGTCGACGCCAGTTTCTATCGCTTTGATCGCACCGGACGTCGCAGCCGTTCTGATGCAGTTTCGCGAACGGCTCCAATAAATGAGCGCCCGAATTGAGATTAATCCGTTGAAACTTTGACCGCATTTGATGGTGGCTCGCCATATGCTATGGTAGGCGCCGGCTGTGATGTGACTACGTCAATTAATAATACAAAGGGTGATTGAACTCGTGTTATTATGACGTGTTTATATTTTATCATTATGTTATAACAACGTCTTATTGATATAAATAGATATAAAAAAAGTTAGGGTTAAGTATATAATATAATTTTATTTCGAAGCTGGCCAGCGTAATTCAAATTATGTTTCTATGATTATATGATTATACGTTACGTGTTATTTTGTATAATTTATATCTATAGATGTAGTGTGTTGATGTTTACGCGATTCGTTTGATTGCAACATAACACAAAATGAAAATAGAAAATATACCAATATGTTGACTGTTTTGCAACTTAGATATATAAAGTTACAAACGATGTTTTAGATAAAACAGCACAAATACATAATCTACAAACATTAGCTTATAGGCATTGCTGTGCTGTGTCCACCCAAAGTTTCAACATCTTGCTGTTGAAACTTTGGGTTTTTTGGGTCCCCGTACATCGAATTTTTTTAAAGGTTTACGTCCTAGGCTTAACGCAACGGCTGGTGACAAGAGAGCTAGTTCTTTTCTCGCTCAAACGTTAAGCATAACTACTCAACGAGGGAATGCAGCTAGCGCTCTTAGCGCGCTTGATCATGCCGCGTGGACTACGTTTATTAGATAATATGTAATTAAGGTAGTTTAAAATGTTGTAAATGTTGCATAAATAAATTGTATATTTTGAGTTTCTTAAAGAGGAGTGACTTTTTGTTTTGAAATATTAACGTCACTCGTACATATCATTCATTTTGAAAAAGAATTAAAGTAGATGTGATGTTAAACCAATAAACACATATAATAAATAATATATATTATGACATTATTAGGCACTTAATAAACTTGTAGCAACATTTTATTTATTCATGTACCAACATTTATATGTATAAAAGGCATTAAGACCCAGCTACAAAAACGCACGATGATATAAATACTCGTTAGCAAATGATCCATATACATGAATTACGAGAAACATTAAGAAGCGACATGACACTTGTTAAGACGGGTTCAGTACAATTAAAATCAATTGCTAACAATTTTTTCCTATGGCAAAAATATGATTTGACGGCGTTTCTCAATAAATTTTCTTGTATTTATTTTTGGGACCAAATGTAATTGCGTAATTTATTTTAAAAATATCTTTGTATATGTAGGCACTCGTAGATATTATATGCGAAGGATGTTAAATTAAAATAACGAAAGCGGAAGGTTTAAAGGAACCAATATAATTATGTATAGTGAACAAATATGTGTCATTAGAGTTCCCTTAAATATATTTTAACGCTAATACGCCCGTGTGGAATTGATAGTTAACAAGAGTACGCCACACCTCCCAAATTTCTCTATGAATGAACATTGAGAATTATTTATACGCCTCCGGCGATAGTAAAAATGATTTTATGCCCTCGTTAACGTTACAGCCCATGTCTTCCTCAATAAAGAAGCTCGTGCACAGATCGACGGTCCGCTGAACAAAACCAGCGTGACTGCCGATAGAGAATCTAGTCCGAAAACTGGGTCAATCAAGTGCTAATAGAAAACGTTTATCAGCCGCACACTGAAGAAAGAAAGAAAAAAAAATACTTAAAAGAAATTCACTGAGAATTTCCGAGACGAAAAAATTGAAATATTTAAACAATATATGTACATCCTTTTTTATTCGCTATATGTAAGCCTAATTAAGAATAGATGGTGTACTCAAAATTGGAATGTACATACATATATTTATCTGTGTTCATGTGTAATATGCTAATTGATATACAATTTTTTTTTATGTGAAAAGTTGCCACGCGAGCAGACGGTTCACCTGATGTTAAGTGAATACCGCCGCCCATGGACATCTGCTCTACACCCGAGTGTTGCCGATGCGTTGACAACCTTTTGGAATTTGCACATTTGTTTGTATGCCTTAATAGTAAAAATAAGAAAATATAGCAGATAATATAATCCTTAAAAAGCTCTGGTTTGCAATTACTACACAAATTTATTTCAGTTGAAGAACTTTCAGAAACTGTTACTTTTGCAATATAATAAAAAAGTAACCATCAAACAACAGTCCTTTTGCGTAAAACGAAAGAAAGGAACCTTTGACGCGTAATCGCTAATTCCGTTCGTCGACATGACGCCGACGAGGCTGCAAAAGCTAATGAAACCGCTCCAGCGAGCGCTGCAGCGGTTGGCAACTGCTAACGAACACACACTATCGAAGCTCTCATTTGCGACAATCGACCGCCGTCGAGGGCTGATTGCTTAATTGCTTCGTTTAATCAATTGGCCGCTTGAGAAACGCACGGCACGCTTTGGACGCGGCCCGGTTATTGGTGAACTCCTCCGGGTCAATAAATCCTTTGCTTAAGGGCGATTCCGTTAACGCTTGTGGCTCGATAGCAGACGTTGAATTTCAAACGTTTCCAGCGTAAGCGATGGCCAGCTTAACGAGAGCCGGCGTCGATACTGACTCGCGATCGGAAACGACTGACGTCTATTTTGGCTACGACATATGAATATTGTAGCGTATCAACTGGCAACCAATTTGAGCCTCACAATACAACAAATACGTTCACTACAATCACACGCTTTCAAGGACGCCGTTGTCCGCTCCAAGGTAAATATTAAACTAATAACGACAGTAAAAACTTCGAAGACACATAGTCGACACTCCGATATGGATATTGTATTATTTTGTGCACATACTTTAAGCAAACAGCTTTAACATTTTTTTTTGCAGGCCCAACTCCGGCCTCACAGAAGACCGGCGTAAGGTGGAAGGATATAACGCTTTCGAGTTTCGTCTGGTGAATAAGGTAACTGAAGCCCGCTTTTTTTAAAGTTGTCAACGCATAAAACCCCTAAGAATTTATAGATGTTTATGGGCGGCGATAATTAACTAACATCAGTTGAACCGCCTGCTCGCTTGACAACGTTTTACATTAAAAAAAATAGTTGTTTCCGTAAGATTCAAAGACTCACGCTACAACACTACGCTGTTTGGATGATGTTTTCATCCAAAGTGCGTAGCAGATAATAATTTTATCCATTACTTCTATATGCAAGACAACACTATACAACGAAAATCAAAATTTTCTTACATCAAAAATATTATTTGTCCAACGGTTTCTTTCCAAATTCCCTGTACATTACCATAATACGGACCTTTCCAAAATGTCGTACGGAGTTAACCAGAATTCCTTGTTAAGGTCACGCCAAATGTAATATAAGTAAATTGAGCACGGTATAACGGCAAATACATACTGAGAATAAAAAATTATTTTAAAAAAGCGAACTAACCTAAGTGCAAATTTAAAAAGAAATCTAATTACCCATCCGATTCTGATTTTACTTCTATAAATGAACAGAGGATAGATAAAAACTAATGTAGTGTGTCCACACTATCCATTTTTCACGCGTCGTTAGGGACGTACAGAAAACGGATTATCCGTTCCCTCAAAGTAATCAGAGATGTGAGAACAGAAATAAACATACAAAAAGTTAATGAATTTATCTTAAGGTATCATTATTATATCGTTACAACATATTTATGCGAGTATGCATTGTAAGAAAGTACAGATTTTATCGCCTTTTAGATTAATTATTATTTGCTGCACTCACCCTCACGGAGAGGACAGAGGCCTTGACGTCATAATTCCACTTAATACCTATTGGTGTCGTGATAATTCAGTACTGTCAGAAACTTTCCCAGAAATTAGATGACTTATTGAAATCAATTAATTCATACAAATAATAAATAAAATAAAACCGTTTAAAAAATAGTAAGCATAATTAAAAACCAAAAAATGCTTCATACAAATATTAATACGATACAAATATTCATACGTTTACGCAACGATTTTGACAGTTTTTTTCTCATTTTTAGAAATTCGATATTCCAAATTCGGCTTCTCGTTGATAGTCGCTGTAAAGGTAACACAAATTATTCAAATCTAATTCTGATTTTAGTTGTCAAATCTAATGTGCGATGAATATTTAATTACATACACTTAGGAAATTGTTATTTATAAGCATGGTACGTTACAAATGGTCACTGATTTTATATAACTCTTACGATATGGATTATATATATCGATATTTAACCGGATACCTACATGTTAATGAAATAACGAGACCCAGGCAGTGGTAAAAAGCCTAAATAATTTTATAGAAGACCCGATTGGCGTTGTGCATAGTGGTCCTGTCCCTTATGCCAAACGGTGTGTGCTCAACCCCCAATACTGGAAAAATATTTTGTGATTAACATAGTGTTTTCCTAACGTCAGGGTGTTTATATATTTACAATATATATTTATTTAGAAAAGAAATTTAGTTTTAAGTATGATATATTATATGATCTCAGTTACCTAGTAAAGAGTACATACTTCGATTAGTTTGAGACTAGATACAATTGTGTAGAGGCTGCTGAGCGGGATCGAGAAAGAACTTTGAGACTAGATGGTGCTCCCCTGCCAGAAATGGGGTCTCAGGTGTCACGTTTGGGGGAAAATCCCTTAATTGCCCAGTAAATACCCTACAGGAGGTGCTAGGGCTGGCGTAATACCGTTCGGAAGGGCTATCATAGGCAAGCTGTAGTGTTCCGAATGGAGATCCCGTGACCCCTCATCAGCAGATGGCGACCACCATGGGGTTTTAGTCGGTGCGAGTCCGACATAACTTGGTTCTTAGCGGAGAGCCAAGTATCCATAATGGATTTCCCCATGTAAAAAAAAAAAAAAAAAAAGATACAATTGTGTAAAAATTAGTCTATTCACATTCATGTGATTTTATTTTAAATGCTTGACATCATTGCGTGTACATAATCATGTTTATTCATATCAACGTGTTCGAAGTCATTCAAACGAAGTGAAAACGTGAATCGACTGATGAAACAAAACTGTTCCTAAAAAAATTATACGGGTGCAATTGACGACTTCCTCATTTACCAATTTGAG